GGAGGCCGTGTCCGATTCGGACTGTGAACTCCCGGGATGCATCTTACTTTTAGGACAGACCCGGTATTATTGGTTGTCCAAAAAACTACTTTGTCTACTAAAACTACCAAAATTCCTCGCAGTTTGCGAGTATCTTAGGTATTTATATACGCTCGCACTGGTACGTCCGTATGCTACCGATGTTAAAGCGCGAATCCCGATAAATAATTATTATTGAAACGCGAAAATTCGATAAACAAATTCAGTTTCCTGCAAGAAAATATTTTTTAATAGTCGAAGACTCCAAGAAAATTTGCAGGGATATTTTTTGCCGCACAAACGGCTTCCCTATAAATTTCTTGAGTACATTTCGCCCATATCCAGCAACACTCTCAACATTTCAGCTTGTCTTCGAGTTGTTATTTCGCGAGGAAAAGGGCTTTTTCAATTTCAAATATCTCTCAACAAATTATCAGGCATCAATCATCGCGGAATGGCTTCAGCTCTAACAGCGAAAATATTTGCTTTAAAATATGAAAAGGGGGAAATGTTGATCAAACGTGGCAGGAATTTTCGAGAGGGGTACGTAAACAGAATTTTGATGGCAAGTTGAAAAAGAAAAAGCACATATGAAATTGCAGATAAATGTTATCCTGCTGTCGACAAAGCTTTTGAATCTTTTGTTTGCCGTATACTTTTTCCAGCTAAAGGGCCTAAGCTATGCAGCAGTTTTTCGCTATTTGTAAGCCGATATATTCAGAATGTGCACTTTTATGGTAAAGTTGATGCAAATATGAAAGCATGAGTCTTGCGATAGCTTTACTGCGAATAGGACGTGCTCGGTAGGAATTCGGACATTCCAATCGAAAAAAGTTTGTTTTTTCGATAGTAAAATTTAAAGCGCATCTCGGACAATATACAGGGCTTCATAGCTAATAAGCATGGATCCTGGGAGTTCGCGGGAGTCCGAATCGGACCACGCTTCCCAGGAAGGCTACTTCCTGAGACCGAAATCCAAGAAAAGAGGTCGGGCATAAAAACCTAACCCTTCCTCAACGCCAACATCAATGCCTTTGTCCAAAAAACCAGCACCCGACAGGGCTGAAACCTCCATGGCTTCAACGAATCAGCAACAACAATTGTCACCCACCTCAAAAGCAGCCGTAACATCAGAAACAACAACAACAACACTGCCACCACAACATCAACGATTCAACTTCCCACACACCTTCGTAGTAATAGCACCAAACACAACATCTAGAATTCAATTGGCCCTAGAATGGGAGAAAGTGCGGGAAGGAAACAAGGATGTCATCATCAAGAGAGAGAATGACTTCCTAATAAAA